ATTACAGAACTGTTGAACAAGCAATGACAACAATGACTACATCAGGCACCTAGCAACTCTGCAGCTAGCCAGGTCGACTGACAACATAGCACGGTCGACCGCCTGCTAGTGTTGCGTAGAGGAGCCGTGCCAGCACTGCAGAAAGGCGACCTGCCAACATAGCAGGTCGACGGTGTGCCAACGTTGCCCCGTAGAAGAGAGCAGTGCGCACGCTTGCTAATACGCGCGGACAATTGGCCGGATTTGCACCGTTGTGCATCCGTCGGCAGTTGTCTGCGCCTGACGAGCCACATCGACTTCGGGATACCATCCTGAAGTCTCCTTCGCCATCGGGACCTCGACGACGTTTGCGTGCCTCCGCAGAACTCGGCGAGCAGGTTACCCGGTCAACCTAGACAACCCCAGGTGCTCTGGTCGACCACCAAGTCCCTCTGGTCCACCACAGCTCCCGTCGAGCTACCCTCTGGTCGACGTGTTGGTGCAACCCTACGGTTTGCATTCGGGAATGTTGTCCGTGTGCGTGCATGCGTGTGTGCATGGAATGATATGAGGGCATGGGATAATATATATTTCATGCTTACAATAGTGTGTGAATGATGAGGCATGATTTTGAATGTGTGTGTCGTGTCAATAGCGAGTTATCGCTAGTCGCATGTCACATCGTCGTTTGCGTGTCGTGTGCAGTTTTCTATTTTGTTGTGTGTGGAACGTTCGGCGTGTCACAGGTGTGCGCAGAAGACTTCCAAGAACTCAAGGAAGATTTCATCTTGAAGAACCAGAGCCTTGGTTTCAAGATTCAAGTGATTTCGAAGCTCTCTAAAAGGGTAAACTTTCAGATAGTGAGAATAGTTGCATTACTTTGTGTAGTGTAACATTCCTCTTAGTGTTAGCCCTTGTGGAGGGTAGTTTCGAGACCCTTCGTGGTTGGGGACAGTGTGGCACTATTCCACATCACTGTACCTCGGCTCTGGGGTTTGTAGGAGCTGGGAGTCATTCCCAACTCGTAACTCTTCCTAATTTGTGTTCTAAGACTATAGTGGCTGCTATAGTGCCATTCGTTCAAACCAAAGTTGCGTCATCAATACTTGATGAAATCGTGCGAATTAAATTGCCTGTTGTAGGCAAAATCAAAACGGTCCAGATCGAATTTATAGAAAGTAATTTCAAGCTGTGAGCAGAACGCTATCAACGCTTGAAGCCGCTGTACAGAAATCCGACTGTGCACTCTATCTTTCGTTTTACGCACATTCAAGCCTATTGTGACTATAACAAGAGGTATCAGAGCCCCTTGGAGCAGTTTCGACAATGGCTGGACCTGAGGAAAGGGGTGGCAGAGGTGCTGGTGGCAGTGGAGAAGCCCAAGGTCAAGGCCAACCCCGTGATTCAGCCATGGCGCCTGTGCGACCATGTCTTGGCCCACCTAGGGATGAGCCTAGGGTGTTTGGGCTTGACAAGTCCAATGGCGACAACGTCGCTGAATGGTCCTTCAGAATGGAGAATGTATTTGACCACTATGACCTGCTGGAGGTGATGGAAGGAACGGAGAAGCGCCCCGAGAACGACCCGGAGAAGAGCCCGTGGGTGCGGAAGAGCGCAGAAGGCTACATAACAAAAACCCAATGCCAAGTTTGGACGAATTTTGATTTCGATTGTCTTCGCGTAAAAAAATCCGGAATCAATTGGGAATGACGGTTGGAGTCATTTGATAGGAGCTCCAAGACACATCTTGCGACAAGGTTTGGCTCGGTTCAAGTTCCAATTTGGCACGCGTGCTTTTCCGGATGACATTCGGGCGCAATCCGTTTTGGTGCAAATTTGTGACCAAATTATTCAAAACTAAATTCTGTTTTTGTTCATTTTGGATATTGAGGATTTCAAAATTGCATTTATTATTGCGGTTTACAACAACCATTATTCAGCATTCTAGCAACAAGCAGTCTTAGGACCAGGTCAAATAGCCTACGCACTGGCGGGCCTTGAATGCGCCCGGTGGGCAAGGACGACATCTCCAAGGTCGCCATCGTCGATGAGGAACTTGTTCGGAAAGACGAACGCACCTATAGCCGGATCGTGGGGGATCCTCCGCTCCACGACACCAAAGTGGATCATCTGTTTGACCTTTTTGCACCACTCCTGGTAGTCTGGCCTGTTCTGTTCCGGCTGGCTACCGATTCGCTTGCGACGCTTATCCTACACAAGGGGCCATTCGATCTGCAATGTGGTGTAGGGTTGGGTGGATGGTTTATGAGGGGGGTGGGTTACGCGTAAATGAGCCAACTGAAAGCGGTGATTCAGCCGTCACTATCTACGCAACTCCAAAGGCTTAATCGACCAGGGCTTTAGCTGATGTACAGGCAAGGGGTGAAGGGGATGAGGCATGGGGGTACAAATACATATCTACATCCTTACCGAAAACAAGCCCCATGCCACCATGCGGCTCTTGAACTTGGTGAACACCGCCCCGCCCCTCTTGAAGGAGAGCTTGAACGCATAAGCGAACAAGGGGTTGCTGAAGGGCGTCCCGGTGGCCTTGTCAAAGTGCCAGTTGAGGGCCCACTGTTCTGCATTTTGGCTGGGAGGGTATGGGTTGGAAAGGGTTTTGTAGAGATATCAAGTGGGCGGATTAGAGTCAGGGTGAGCCACATTTTACGGTGATATGTAGCTGCCAACTGGCATATGGTGTTTTCTAGTTGCACATACCATCTCTGTACTTGGCTAGGAGATGATCATCGTCGAACCAGGTCATTGGGTGTAGCTCAGTGGGCAGGCTTTCCATGAGATGGCTGTAATCGGCAAGGCCCATGCCGGTGTATGCTGCTATCCTGAGGGTGGAGTTGATAGTTGACCTTGTTGAGGACAGCTGGTGGTTGAAGACTCCCATGGTAGACTTGTCATTGTGCAACCACAGCAGCTTCATTGCCTCAAGCCCTTCTGCAGACAAGTGGACAGAGAACGCGTCGAACACTTCCTCCGGTGTAGGGTAATACTGTATTTTCTCCGGCGGGTTCAGAAACATGAGCTGAGAGCACACTAAGTAGGCTTTGTTCTGCGCAGGGGTGTAGGGTATACAACACGACATGGGAGAGAGAAACCAGCAGTTATGAGGGTGGCCGCGTGACCAGGGGATGGTGACTAGCAACACTGTGTGAACTTGCCACGTCACACCCTGCGCCATCCGCCACGTCCACCAACAACCCGCCCCACTTGCCACGTCACACCCCCCTACCACAAGCCACGTCACCCCCCACCCACTTGACACGCCTCGCTTTGTCATGCGCTGCTCACGTGTACCCTTTCAAACCGCCACGTCATCCCCAACCCTCACCTTCCGCCACGTCACACCCTCCTGCATCCGACACGTCCACCAACAACCCGCCCCACTTGCCACGTCACACCCCCCTATCACAAGCCACGTCACCCCCCACCCACCTGACACGCCTCGCTTCGTCATGCGCCGCTCACGTATACCCTTTCAAACTGCCACGTCATCCCCAACCCTCACCTTCCGCCACGTCACACCCTCCTGCATCCACCACGTCCACCAACAGCCCGCCCCACTTGCCACGTCACACCCCCCTACCACAAGCCACGTCACCCTCCACCCACCTGACACGCCTCGCTTCGTCATGCGCCGATCACGTGTACCCTTTCAAACCGCCACGTCATCCCCAACCCCGCCCTGGTTGCCACGTCAACCCCAACCCGCCCCATTTGGCCCGTCACATACCGGGAATGGGTTTGTCTCCTGCAACACTAGCACTCGTGCCTTGTCCACGGCACTCATCGGCGGCGGGATACCTTTCATAGGCACCACTGCGGACCCCCCGGCATAACTGGCAGGTGCTCCACGACGCAGGCCGAGCTGAGCAAACATGGCATACATCTCAGACCGTAGCGCCTGGAACTCCTCCCGTGTAACAAACTGCTCGTGCTCCGCACTTTCACCTAGGGCACCCAAGAGCGGGGGAAAAGGGTGTGAAGAATCCCCCTTCTGGCCAAGGGGATCAACGTCTTCTGCAGCAGTCCCGTGTGCCCTCACACTATCACGCTGGCGGGAAAAGGGCAGCTCAGGGAAGGGATTGGCAGAAGTGCTTGGCCCTTGCCCGTGCGAAGGACCGGCGAGGGGGGAGACGGCCCTGCCCCAGACAGGAGAAGCGTGGAGCTGCCGATGTCGGTATGAGGGTGAGGTGAGTGGGGAGTGCGTGACGTGGCCTGGTGGAGGGGATTCGGATTCCTCTCCTCTTGGTGCGCTGGGTGCCCTGGCAGCGACTTTAGACGGGCCAGAGTATGGCGTGTAGAACCTTGGGGCTCTTGTGGATAGCGGGGTAACACTCGCTCTTCCGGCCCCCTTCGTTAGCTGCATCCGTTGCACGCTTACCGGTGGCCCAATGCCTGTAACACAAGGGGCTGAGATTTATAGGGAGCAGGAGCACAAAATTAGAGTCGATTAGTTTCAATACAGGGGCACACATGCTTGCATACGATCAGCGGTTTGAATCTACATCGGGTTATAACGGGTACTGTTTTGTAACAAGAGGCCTTACCTTGCTTTGCAGATTCGTCAACCTTCTCCTTCCCTGCAGGGGAGAAACAATGTGAAGAAATGTGTTAATTGGCACGGTTGAGCAGAGAGTTCGGCAGCCACGCCATGTGTATGGGCCACAGTGCTTACCTTTCAGCTGTCCCTTCGGTTTTTTTGCTGCCTGCGCCTTCTCGTTGCCACCTTTCCGCGGGGTGCTTTGGCGGCCGCTGCGACGCTTACCGGCTGGTTCTTTCTTGCCGGAATCCACTGGAACCTCTTTGGCGCGGCCGCCCTTTCCTTCACCATCCCCTTTTGATCCCTGGCTACCTTGCTTTTTGCCAACCCCTTCGCTTTCGACCTTCACTTTACCCGTCTTTGGTTTGCCCGCTGCTTCGCCACACGGGGCGTCACCTGCGTCGCGTTTTCGGGAATGGCAAGTCTGGCCCCCCACCTTCCTTGTACCACTCCCCCGTCTGCCTCACCCGCCCTGTCCTTTCCCTGCCGCCACATCCTCCTCCTCCTCCTCCTCCTCCTCCTCCTCCTCCTGCTCCTCCTCCTCCTCCTCCTCATCCTCGTCGTCCCTCTCCTCCTCCTCCTCCTCCTCCTCCTCCTCCTCCTCCTCCTCCTCCTCCTCCTCATCCTCGTCTCCCCCTCCTCGTCCTCCTCCTCCTCCTCCTCTTCGTCCTCCTCGTCATCATGCTCATCTTTTTCTTCCTCCCCAACATCCGCATCCTCCTCCTCCGCATCCTCTTCATCCTCCTCTTCCGCCGCATCCTCCTCCTCATCTGCCTCCTCCTCCTCATCCCCCGCATCCCCCTCATCCTCCTCCTCCGCATCATCAGAGCCACCTACGTCGACGATGCTGTGTTGGAGATCCTCCATTGAATCGTGCTCCCCCGCCTTGGCCTTATCCACCACGGCAGCAGAAATTTCGACCACGGTCGGCTGGAGCAGCGACAGTCCGTGTTGGGATGCCTCCGCCTCCCACTCCTGGGTTGCGGCATGCTCGGCGCGGGGAGTGTCGTCGTGGTTTCCTCCTGTCGCCGACCCCTCTCTCTCCGCCGACGGGTGTGCAAGACTCACGCTCCCTCGCCCCAGATCTTCTTTGCCGCCGATGGTGCCGTCGTTAGTCGGACCGGGATCGGTTCTACCAGAGGCAACATCCGCACCTTTTTTCACGGTAGAAACACGCTTACGTGGCGTTGGTTGCTTCCCCTTCTCTTCCGCCTTCTTGCCGGACTTCTCTTGTCCAAAGGCGGCCTTTTTTCCCGCCAGTTTTTTCAGCCCTCTGCCATGCGCGGCGGACACATTAGTACCTTTAGAGCCGCCACCACCCTCCCTATCGGTCTGTTGAGACAGCCTCCTTGTCGCGCGACGTCCGGCCTGTTCCTCCTCCTTTTCTTTTTGCCGTGTTGCACGTGTCATGGTTGTATTACGAATGCGAATTTCTACAAGGCAGAACGGTGGAGCTGGTTTTAAAGGGGAACCGCAAATGAATGTAACGAAGGGAGAGTCGACGGTCTATTCTGTCATCTCTCTCTGAAAACCACTGCTTCAATCAATACTGAAATAGTAGTCACTGAGAGCTACGGCCCATGACTTAGTCGACTGGTGAGTCACGGGCGATCTGGAAACGCCTGTGTCAAATAGCAAGCAGGGTCAAAATTGTGGGCCAGAGGGTGACGGAAGCAGGTGGGTGGGGCACGAGGGTGGTTGGGGTGGCTTGCGCGACTAGAGGGATTACTGTAATCAGATCAGGCTAGATCGGACGGTGTAGGTGTAGCCACCCGATCATAAACCCACGCACCGCTCGATCATAGCCGCTCAATCGCGGAAGTACTGCTTGGCGGGTGCTTGTGTTGCAGGAGGGGTTGTTTGAGATGCGTCGGCCAGTCAGTGTTGCCAACGCATCAATCACTTGTCATGCTAGAACAGTTTTTGGACCAATTGAGGGAACACAACCTAAACCCTACAAAGTACAGTCATGTCGCGAACGAACAATGTTGCACATACGAGCTAAATAACATTTAAAACTACAACAAATACAATCAACAAAAAATTGGTTGCTAATGTAATAGTCTAGGGTTGTGGCAAGGTAGTGGGTTTGTATCATGTCACACACACAAAAAGCGTCCAGAATTATTACTTCATACAATTGAACTAAGCACTATTAGGCTATGCCACAACGGTTACGCGTCGCGGTACGAAATCTAACACGACGATCACTAGTGCCAAACGAGAAACAGTTGTGGTATGGTGTTGGATTGGGCTCAATTCTTGCATGGACCTTATACAAAGTACATAAAGGGAGTGGTATGAAGCACAGGGCTAACGCACAAGCGAAGATGCAATATCGGCAGCCATGTTTAGACTGGGCGACGCTGCATCGTTCAGGCCCATGTTTTGCGCGACATGGTGAAACCGTTGTCATATGGTGTTGGATTGGGCTCAATTCTTGCATGGACCTTATAAAAAGTGATGTGAGGGAGTGGTATGAAGCACAGGGCTAACGCACAAGCGGTGATGCGTTATCGATAGCCATGTTTAGACAGGGGGGCGCTGCATCGTTCAGGCCCATGTTTTGCGCGACATGGTGAAACCGTTGTGGTATGGTGTTGGATTGGGCTCAATTCTTGCATGGACCTTGTAAAAGGTGCATAAGGGTGTTGGTGCAACCCTACGGTTTGCATTCGGCTTGTTGTCCGTGTGCATGCATGCGTGTGTGCATGGAATGGTATGAGGGCATGAAATAATATATATTTCATGCTTACAATAGTGTGTGAATGATGAGGCATGATTTTGAATGTGTGTGTCGAGTCAATAGCGAGTTATCGCTAGTTGCGTGCGACGTCGTTGTTTGCGTGTCGTGTGCGGTTTTCTATTTTGTCGTGTGTGGAGCGTTCGGCGTGTCGCAGGTGTGCGCAGCAGACTTCCAAGAACTCAAGGAAGAATTTACCTTGAAGAACCAGAGCCTTGGTTTCAAGAATCAAGTGATTTCGAAGCTCTCCAAAAGGGTAAACTTTAAGATAGTGAGAATAGTTCCATTACTTTGTGTAGTGTAACATTTCTCTTGGTGTAGGCCCTTGTGGAGGGTAGTTTCGAGACCCTTCGTAGTTGGGGACAGTGTGGCACTGTTCCACATCACTGTACCTCGGCTCTTGGGGTTTGTAGGAGCTGGGAGTAATTCCCAACTCGTAACTCTTCCTATCTTGTGTTCTAAGACTATAGTGGCTGCCATAGTACCGTTCGTTCAAACCGACGTTGCGTCGTCAATTCTTTATGAAATCTTGCAATCTAAATTGCTTATTGTAGGCGACGTCAAGACGCTCCAGATCCAATTTGAATCAAGTCATTTGCAGCTGTGAGCAGAACGCTATCAACGTTTGAAGCCGCTGTGCAGAAATCCGTCTGTGCTCTCTATCTTTCGTTTTAGGCACATTCAAGGTTATTGTGACTATAACAAGTGGTATCAGAGCCCCTTGGAGCAGTTTCGACAATGGATGGACCTGAAGAAAGGGGTGGCAGAGGTGCTGGTAGCAGTGGAGAAGCCCAAGCTCAAGGCCAGCCCCGTGATTCAGCCATGGCGCCCGTGCAACCAAGTCTTGGCCCACCTAGGGATGAGCCTAGGGTGTTTGGGCTTGACAAGTTCAATGGCGACAACTTCGCTGAATGGTCCTTCAGAATGGAGAATGTATTTGACCACTATGACTTGCTGGAGGTGATGGAAGGAACGGAGAAGCGCCCCGAGAACGACCCGGAGAAGAGCCCGTGGGTGCGGAAGAGCGCACAAGGCTATCTCCTACTTGGGCAAGTGTTGGGGAGCAGACAGATCCGTCACATCAAGCCATTCCAGCGTGAACCAGAGAAGGGACCAAAGGCATGGGCTGCTCTCAAGGGTGTACACGCTCCTGCAACAGCGGCGGTAGCGGTGGTGTTGGAACGGCAAATGGCGGCACTACGAATTGAAGAAGACGAAGCGGTTGAAGAAGGGGTGCAGAAATTCTTCGACTTGTTGACGCGGCTTGAGGGAGCTGATTTGAACTACAGTGAGCTCCAAAAGAAAACCAAGTTGCTGGCCTTACTCCCAGAGTCATGGTCCTCGCTCATCATCAACCTCAATCGTGACCTGCCCCGCCTCTCGCTCGAAGACGTGAAGCGAGCGATCCTTCAAGAGGACTTCCGTCGCCGTGAGTTGGCGAGTGCGGATGGCGCTGGGGCAGCAAGCATCGGCCGTGGATATGGCCGTGGAAGGGGCAGAGGACGAGGAGGAGGAAGGTTTGGAGGCAGCAACTACAACGGAGGCCGCGGGAGTAGCGGATACGGCAATGACAACAAGAACAACGGACGCGGTCGCGGACGGTTCGACGGCGAGTGTCATTTTTGCCACAAGAGCGGACACATGTGGCGCGATTGCTACAAACTCCCTGATGGATGGACTCCTGCTCAAGGCCAAGAGGGTAGAGGAGCAGGAGGAGGGAGAGGAAGAGGCCGTGGAGGCCGTGGCGGTCGCGGAGGTGGTGCTGCAAGTATGAAGAGTGCCGGCAACGAGAGCGAGTCGAGGGACGATCGCTTTCCGGGTCAATTCTTCTTTGTGTCCACGCAAGCACCGGCTGGTCCAGAGAAGGATGAAGGCTTTGAGGAGCCAGCAGCTGTGGGAAAGGTCACCCTACACTCCCTGGACTATTGGGTGATCGATAGCGGCGCTACCTATAGCATGACACCTCGTGCGGACTTGCTCACCGAACTTGAGCCGTCAACGGTGAAGCATGTGACATCGGCTTTGGGGCAGCGAGCAGAGGTGAAAGGCATGGGCAAGGCCATGTTTAAGCGTGCTGATGGGAAGATGGTGGGCCTCAAGAACGTGCTTTGGGTGCCCAACCTTGCTGCCAACCTGATTTCCGTGCGGCGGTTGCAAAAGGCCGGCATGGACACGAGCTCGAAGGGAGCTAAGACCTACACCGCGAGGCTTGGCGAGCGGATTCTTTGGGACCTTCACGAGGATAGGGATGTCTACAACGAGATGTGGCAAATCCCTGTGGTCCCCATGCCTAAGGAGAGGCAAGTGGCAGCAAGCATCAGCACCAAGGGTGAAGCGGTTGGTAGCGGAGATGGCGCGAACGGTCGCGCTAAGGAGATTAAGTCCAAGAAATGCAATCTTGGAGGGACCAGCAAGCTCGGTGAACATGAGGAGAGTGATGCAGCAGCTCAGAAGCAGCACAAGGGTGAGGAGAACCCCAAGGCAGCAGCGGAGGAGGAGTACGGAGAGAACATGTGGGGCACTATTGCGAGTGCGGCATTCTCCAATCCGACTTCGGCTACGGGGGAGTGTGATTGGCTCACCTTGCATCGGCGAATGGGGCATGTGGCCCTGCCCATCTTGCAGCAGCTAGTGAAGAATGAGATGGTTGCTGGCATACGTGTGAAGGGGGAGCCCGATGAGGTACTTGGCTGCCCGACATGCATGCAAGCCAAGTTCACCCGTTACCCGTTCTCTAATTCGGAGGCAACGGCTAAGGCACCACTTGATGAGGTGGTGATGGACGTGGTGGGCCCCCTGAAGCTTGGAGCTGCTGGAGCTGAGTACTTTCTCACCATTGTGGATGTCTACACTCGGATGACTTGGGTGTACGTGCTGTCCAAGAAGAGTGACGTGGCTGAAACGGTGAAGACCGATTGGTTGCCGATGGTGGAGCGACAACAAGACCGGCTAGTGAAGGCAATCCGCACCGATCGAGGGGGAGAGTTCTTGAGCAAGGAGTTTGGATTGTGTCTGAAGAAGAATGGCATAAGGCACTCCCTTACCATGCCATACTCCCCTGCAATGAACGGCATCGCCGAGCGAGCGAACCGGACAATCACGGAGACGGCGCGCGGGTTGCTCATTGAAGCCGGGCTACCCGACTATTTCTGGCCTGATGCGGTGCGGAGTGCGTGTGTGGCCAAGAACAGAGCCTTGACTCATGTGGGAGCAGACAAATGGGTGCCCTATGTGGAGTGGATTGGAAGGAAGCCAAAGGTGGACATGCTTCGGGTGTTCGGGTGCATGTGCATGGCGCTCGTGCCTAAGCATCTTCGGCACAACAAGCTCGGTGCCAAGGCGATATGGGCTGTGCACTTGGGCATGGCTCAAAACAGCAAGGGGTGGCTTCTTTGGGACCCATTCACCAAGAATATCTTGGTGAGCAGGGACTGTAAATTCATGGAGAATCTGATGTACAAGGATTGGAAGGCGGAGAATGAGGTGAAGATAGGCATGCGGTTTGGGGAGGTGAAGAGTTCCGGTTTGGAGCATGTGGAGCTGCCCTTGGAGCTGAGCAGCGGCAGCACCACCACAAGGCAATCTTCCCTTGTGAATGGGGGAGAGGAGGCCAAGGATGCAGAGGAAGAAGAGGAGGAGGTGCAGCAAGTGAGCGAGCGTGCACCGA